TGTTTTAGAACTAGACTTAAGACTTGAGTAGCGTTTGAGGATTTCAGCGTGAGGCCAATACGCTGTGTGTTGGAGTTAGCCTATTTACTGGAGATCAAATTTATTTTACTTATCTATCCAGGCAACATGTTCTTTCTTCTCCTTAGCAGTACCTATCGTTTGCAATTTCAAGCCCATTCTCATGTGGATAGTACACACGAACGCAATACTTTACCTAGCAATATTACTACATCAGTTTGGATTGTGTGACTAACTATACCTAAATCAAAGTCCCTATTGTGTTGAAGTTTGATATCAGTTGTATCTAATTGTGCCACTCAAGCATGCTTAGGTTTCAATAGCTGGTGGTAGCAGCCTAATTTTGTGTCGATATAAACTATTCGTTCTAGGATCTCATTGTCTTTGTTGACAGGCTTCGTGTTAGATGTTAATCCATTGTCGGGTGCTAGTAAAGTGATAACGTCATACTATGCTCATGTACGTAGCAAATTTTGATCACTATTTGAGATTAATTTAGCATAATATTGTGCTAGTTATTTAAAATTACTTTCCTTTACAATAGATTGCCTCGTCGGCCGAGTGGTCATTCGTGCGACTAGGCAAGGATTTCTGAGTCGTGCAAAATATGACTGGTGTTTTTTAAATCTCAGTAGTAGCACGTAGTTTGGAATTGTGCCCGGTATACGGCAATAGGCTCACTCCGTATTACATTGGACTCATAACATAAATAGTGAAAAGTGGGTGTTACATTGTACAGTGGCTTCAAGTGCCGTGATGTGTAGGTACCTATGCTACTCTTCGGGGATACAAGGCCTGATGTTATGTTATGTTGCAATAAAGTAAATTATGTTAGACTTTTTCTTTGTAAATTGGCGCATATTGGCATTTTTATTTTCTTCATATCCAATATGATATCAATATTAGTGAACCCAGCTTGAATAAAAATATGAAACTTTTTTAACGGAAAAACACATTTTTCCTATCTGTTCTATAGGTAGAATATCGGGTTAAAACATAAAACACTCTCAAACCAATTTTTGTTTTGCATGAAATCCGTTCGTTCTACCGTTGCGTGATTGAGTATTCACCAGTTTTTTTATAAACAATAGTAGAATTCTATACGACTAAATTTTACAGTAGAATGCAATAAAAATACCGAACCACCAATCAACCTACTCACAAGCCCTTAAAACTGCTATTATTCAGAAAACCAGTGAGCTGCGGTGACATGCGAATCGATGCAACTATTCGTAAAAGCAAAAGAGGAAATATAAAACGAATGGCAATAGAAATTCAAAAGAATAGAGTGGGGCTCGTGTCGGCACCCGGGGGTTCATCAAAAAGACAGCAGCTAAAACTATTACAGGTTTTATTTGAAACCCCTACAGCAGTGATGGAAAGATAGAATATTTTTTTGAAATGATTAATTTAAACTCTCAAACATCGCGAGGACACCGGTGACCACAACCTATTGTTCTTTAATTGTGTCTATAATGACGGTACTCAATGAGTTAATGGGATTTATTTAAAAGATGTTCATCGGCATTACTACAATACCAACTTCGATTGTCTCGTTGGCCGATTGGCCGCAACTGCCACGTAAGGAGTCTCGGGTTCAATTCCCGGGTCGGGCAAAGTATAACTGGGCAATTTTTAATTAATTTTCTCAGTAGTAGCATGGAGTCTGGAATTGTGCCCGGAATATGGCAATAGGCTCACCCCCTATTACATGGGACTCATAACATAAATAGTAAAAAGTGGGTGTTACATTGTACAGTGGTATTAAGTGCCCCCTTAGGGGCGTGATGTTATGTTACATTGTAGGTATTACTACAAGGCATTGTCAGTCTAACTGCTAAAGAATCCATCGCTATGGTCTATTTTTTAAATTGTAACAATAATCTATAAAATCGAATTGTTCTTAGCGTTGGGCTATAAGCTCCTATTTTTATGGATATTAAAACAAATCTAACAAATAATGAACTTCATAATTAGATCATTTTTATCCACGGACTGAAAGCACGATTACATCCATGTTTAATTACCTAGTTACAAAAAAAAACATCGTAAGACAATATTTTATTAAACCTAATCTAAACTAAAGTCAACGAAAAGAGAACTGAGCTAGAGAAATTTATAGTTGTTGTCAGTTACTATTACGTATGTAACTTGTAGTTGTCAGAGTTTTATATTGTATGTTTCGCATGTAATTGGGAATTGATATGGTTACACGAAGCACGAGACTTCTTTGAGAATTACCAAATAGAGGGTATTGTTGTTAAGATCTTTGTGTCTTATACTTTTACTTACTGTAAATATTGTTAGTGTACCTAATTATGAATCAATAATATTAGCAAATAAGATTCAAAATCAACTATTTCTATGACTATGATCATTATGAAGTGTGGGAGAGCTATGCTTCGGCACGAATGGGCCGGCTCGACCGGAGTGATACCACGGCCTCACAGAAAACCGACGTGAAGCAACGCTTGTGTTGTGTTTCGTCGTGTGAGTGAAGTTATCGAAGGCCCAATTACCCTCCCATCCCCAATCTCCCCAATCCCTGAATCCCCAACGATCCTCAAACTCCTAATTCCCAAAAGGCCGGTAACGCACTTGTAACGCCTCTGGTGTTCCAGGTGTCCATGGGCGGCGGCGATTGCTTACCATCAGGTGATCCGTCTGCTCGTTTGCCGGCTAATGCCAAAAGAAAAAGAAGTAATTTATACATATTTGCGATATAACAGACTTGTGGCTTAATGCGGAAGTTTCGCACACGCTTCGGTTCTTATTATTTTATTCTTAATGGACCTATAAAACATTTCATAAGGAGATTGTATATTAAATCTTTTATAGATCTATTACGAGATTTCTTGCGAGATCTTTTATCCCTCTTTATATTGGCTTTCATTGGTCCTCGAGTGAGGCCCAAAAGTTGATGGTAGAGTTTTTTAGACGAAACTTTCGTGGGGAATATATATAGGTATAATCTATGAATTTAATCACAAAG